TTTAGGGTTTAGGGTTAGGGTTTAGGGTTTAGGGTTTGGGCTCAGAGGTTGAAGTTGAAAGAGGATGAAGGGCCTCTTAGGCTCAGTGTTGAGAGGATGCACCATGGTCGCATAGTTTAGGGTGTAGGGTTCCGGGGTTTAGGGTTTAGGGTTTAGGGTCGCGCTCTTTTGCGCTGAGACAGACCGTGCGTGCGGGCGTTTTGCGTGCAACCTGTGCTTTCTGTGGGGGATGTTGCGCAATCGTAACCAAGCCCGGATCGACTCTCTTCCTTTCGCCCTAAACCCTCTAAAACCCTAAACCTTTCCCTGGGGACCCGAGGCAGGACCTTTCACCCTAAACACTAAACCCTAAACCCTAAACCCCAAACCCTAAACCCCAAACCCTAAACCCCAAACCTAAACCCTCGCCCTGAACCCCTGAAGCCTTGTCCCTCAACCAGTCAAACATCAACCGGCAGCGTGTCCTCCACTGGATCGACCTGGCTTTTTGGCAATATGAAGTAGGGCTTATATTGCTTGTAGGGAGTTTAGGTCAAACCTCCATTCTGGGGCAGGGTTTCGGATGTAGGGTTTAGGGCTTTGGGGATCAGAGGGCTTGGGGTTAAGGTTAAGGGGCTTGGGGTTTAGGTTCAGGGTTTAGGGTTTAGGGTTAGGGTTTAGGGTTTAGGGCTTAGGGCATAGGGCTTAGGGTTTAGGGTTTAGGGTTTGAGGGCTTTGAAGAGGAAGAGCGTATCCTGAAAGACTCTAAATGCCAGCTCGAGCTCAGGACACAGGCTGCCTTCATCCAGGGGGCTCGAGCACTGACAGTTGTTTGCAATACCCGGGGGCAGGTTTGGGGGCGCTGTGCGCATGGAATCTTTATCTTACGTGCTGAGTTCATAAGTCCCCCCCCCAACAAGTGTACACTTTCAGTTCTTTAGGGGATTCTGGTATCCCAATTCGTGTAAAGTTTACTCATTCAGCTACTAGGTTATGGCTTTATAAGGAGAATCTAGGGGAGGAAGGCGTGGGGGCCCGAGAAAAATGTTGGTTTTTAAGGCTTTGTAAGGATGATATGGGCGATTAAGGGTAATAAGCAACCAAAATGATAGGGGGAGCAATCCTCCTTGTAGTTGCCTAGTAACCCCTGAACCCTAAACCCTGAACACTAAACCTTTCACGGGCTTTGGGAAGATTCAAAAAAAGACTTTGGCTAAACCCCAAACCCGTATAAACCATAAACCCTAAACCATTCACGGGTTCTTGGGGAAGAATAACACCAGTTTAAACGAACATGTACAAACAAGATTGTTACTAAAACAATTCTGTTTTGGGGAGAAAAGTAAACTAAAAACAACTCCGGCTGAGGGCCGGGCCTGCACGAAACCTTGGGCAGCTGCCGCATCCTGCGGCGGCTTGGGGGGGAGGAGGGGGGGGGAGGGACTCGAGTCGAGGGGCTGTTGGTAGGGTTTTTGGGTTTAGGGTTTGGGGTTTAGGGTTTGGGGTTTCGGGTTTAGGTTTTAGGGTTTGGGGTTTAGGGCTTGGGGTGTTTAGGTGGTGGGCATTTGGGACTTTAGGGCTTCAAGATCTTGCAGGTTGGGGGTTAATTGCAGAACAATACGACATCTCCCTCGACTACCAGGAATCTTATTACCTTTAAGATTATCTCCAAAAGCCTATAGTAATAATCATAACAATAAGTAATAATAATCATAATATTAATAATAATACTAATAATAATAATAAACACGACAGGAAGCGCAGGGGCTTCTGTTCTTATGATATGGGATCTTGACGGGCTAGTTCCCGAGCAAAGTAGTATTCATAGGAGTACTCTACTTCGCCCGCTCGTTCGCCCCGTACAAGAATCAGGGGTTTCACGTCGTTCACACGTTATTAATTTACAGGGTCACTAGTTCCCTTGTACCTTTCTGGACCTGCAATTCTTAAACCTAAACCTCCAATCGCAAGCCTTAAACCCTAAACCATAGACCCCTCAACTTTGAGTCTGAAACCAAAAATGGCCTCAAATCCTAAACCCTTCAACCAACACCCTAAACCTCACAAGCCTCAAACCCGAATAACACCTTAAGCCCAGCCAGCCCTAAATCTTAGCCCTAAATCCCTAGCCCTAAACCCCATGTAAGTCCCCCCCCAAGCAGCCCCCAAACAGGCTGGTACCTTGCTCTCCCTCCGCATGACTGGCCTTGGCCGCTATGGAGGAGTGACACTCTACCCACAATTGAAAAGCGAGGGGGGGGGGGGGGGGTTAGGGTTTAGGGTTTAGGGTTTAGGGTTAGGGTTTAGGGTTTAAGGGGGGGGGGGGGGGGGAGTTGTTGTGTTTATGTGGCGTACACAGCTTGGCTCTTTTTTTTGGGGGGAGGGGGGGGGGATAGGCAGCAAGACTTTTTGGGGTTTGGCAACACTGTTTGGGGTTTGGGGCCTACGAGGGAGGTTGAGGATTTGGGTTTTGCCCTCAACCCTATAAGCCTTGAACTCAAAAAAAACTTACACCTTAAACCCGAAACCCGAAACCTTAAACCCTAATCCAGAAACCCTAACCCTAAACCCTAAGCCCGATAACAGATAGTCTTGGCCTGCCAAGTCGCTGTGAGTCTGTTTTTTTTTGTTGGGGGTTTGGGGTTTGGGGTTTGGGGTTTAGGGTTTAGGGTTTAGGGAAAGTTTAGGGTGGTGTTCCTGCCACTTCCGGCCCTCCCGTTTACCGGCAGATGCCTGGCGCATGCTGGGCTTGGCGCCCCGACTCTAAGAATGCTGAGCCCCGAAACCTTCAGTCGAAGCCCCTGGACCAAAAAGCAACCCTAAACCATAAACCAAAACCCGAAACCCTAACCCTAAACCCTCAGCCCTAAACCCTAAACCCTAACCTCCCCCCCCCCCCCCCCGAGGAGAGTTTCGGGTTTAGGGTCTGGGGTCTGGGTTCGGGGCTTTGGACCCAACACAGAGCATCAAGAAAAGACATAGGTGAGGAGGGCGGACAGTTGGGAGTTTTCACTGGTCCCTGCCCGGTGCGGCAAACTGATCCAGGGCGTGGACAATCCTCGCTCAGCATCATCTGGTGGGAGGGAACCTTGTTGGCTTGTTGGCTGCATTCTCTCATGGGCGAAACCGGTCACCTTAGGATGTTGATAGTACACCCCCCAAACCCTAAACCCTAAACCCCATATCCCTAAACCCTAAACCCCAAACCCTAAACCCCAAACCCTGAACCCCAAACCCCAAACCCCAAATTCTACTCAGTCCTTCTGGGGCTAGTTTCGCGGCCCAGCTTTGGGCTAAAGGGTTTGGGGCTTACAGGGCCTCCTTGGGTTTTAGGGTTTAGGGTTTAGGGTTTAGGGTTTAGGGTTTAGGGTTTGGGGTTTAGGGTGGCAGGACTTCAGATTTACACCTCGCTGCTTGTTTTGGTTGTGAATACCGACGGAGCAAAGAAGAGATCAGAAAGTATGCGTGGATCTCAGTTGTGCCAAGATGTCAGAAGCGAAAGGCAGAATTTGGAGATGTTGAATTGCGAGAATGTTGCGGGAACTGTGGTTTGGGGTTCTGGGTTTCGGGTTTAGGGATTCATGGCTAATCCATTCCCACTTTTTTAAAATTAAACGTACCCCTAATAATAAAAGCACTTTCCGGAAAACCCAGATTTAGGGTTTAGGGTTTAGGGTTGAGGGTTTAGGGATTCATGGCTACTTTGTCCCAGGCCAAGCGGCCAGAAGTTAAAGATGCTGGCAATGAAGCACAGGGATCAAGCGTGTTCATCATGTCGTCCATAGATGCCAAAAATTGCCAAGTAGCCCTAAACCTTAAACCCTAAACCGCAAACCCAGAACACTAAGTAGCCGTACTTTCAGTGAGAGGGAACAGCTTGCAGACCGAGTAGTCGGATGACCTTGCTAGCCGTGAGGAGGTTGTAAGTAGCCAATGTGTAGCTGGTGTTATGTACTTTTAAAAAAATGCCTGTTCACGGTTCATGTCAGCTCCAAGACCCTAAGCCCGAAACCCTGAACCCTGAACCCTAAACCCTAAACCCCGTACAATAACCCCCCCGGGCACCCTGGCTGTGGAGAGTGTGCGAAAGGCAAAGGGCCGGTAACCTTCAGCACTCTCTGGGAGTTTGATGGGAGGTTTGGCTTATACCAACAGTCCTTGCCAGGGAGTACCTCTAAACCCTAAACCCTAGTTTGAGGGTCTCAGGATTTGTTGCTTGTTAGGATGTAAGCTGATCTCTAGGGTTTAGAGGATTTGGGGGCGTTGATTGAGAGTCAGGGTTTAAGATGTTTTTAGGGCCCTAATCCCTAAACCCTAAACCCTAAACCCTACACCCTAAACCCTAAACCGTGAAATGCCAGCAGGGTTTAGGGATTAAGGCTTGGCGTGGAGGGTGAGGTGGCCTCTTTGGCAACACCGAGCCGGTAGTCTAAACATGATAGCATCCGCTGCCAGAAAAGCTCCAGAGCCCTGAACCCTACACCTAAGAACCCTAAACCCTAAACCCTAAACCTAAGAACCCTAAACCTAAGAACCCTAAACCCTAAACCCTAAACCCTAAATAAGAACCAAAAGACCTCGGCTTAATACGTGTTGCAATTAGCAGGGCGAGATGTGATGGATTTGAGAAATGTATGCATGAAGAAATATGTATATATTTGTTTATATAGGCATACACCCCCGGGCCGAAAGTTTCGACCCACGGCACATGTTGGATGGCATGCAGACAGTGAAGGCTCCCGCGGAGTAGCGGAGTGCCGAAAAGTAGCGTTTTCCCTACGCCTGCTAGCGGAGGAAATTAATACCCCGTTTTGAAGATGTAGTACTATAGTAGCTCTGGAGGAGGCCCCCAGCCCCATTGTGTCAGGAGTCTATGGGGAAGAGGGCGGGGTATGGGTGTAAGAACCCCAAGATGTTGGTGGGTCGAACTATCGGCCCGGCGCAGTATGAAATCATTTTGTAAAGAGAATGCAGAGGGGGGGGGGGTGGGGGGCGGGCGTACTCCAAATATTATACATGGGCCGGGGGGGTATATTAAGGCACCCATGTACTCAAAAGTCCCTACGTCGACCTAAGAAGCGAACCCGAAGGGTCCGCACCCCTACATAGCATATACTAAAGACTCTAGTTTAGGGTTTAAGGGTTAAGGGTTTAGGGTTTAGGGTTTAGGGTTTAGGGTTTTGGGGTTTAGGGTTTAGGGTTTAGGGACCCGAAAGCCCCCTAAGAACCCTAACAGCCCTATACACGTGCATGGACCCTTAGGGAAAACCCCCTAAACCCTAAACCCTAAACCCTAAACCCTAAACCCTAAACCCAGATGTGAGAGCCCCGCGAGTAGAGGAGTGCCAGGCGGCATCGGCACATCGCCCCTGTCAGAGATGGCGAGGTTAGGGTTTGGGGTTTAGGGGTTAGGGTTTAGGGTTTAGGGTATAGGGTTTAGGGTTATTTGTGATTTAGGGTTTGGGGGGGTTTAGGGTTTGGGGTTTAGGGTTTGGGGTTTAGGGTTTGGGGTTTGGGGTTTGGAGGATTTAGGGTTTGGGGTTTGTTGTTCAGGTGAGGGTTTTGAGTTTAGGGTGTTGCAAGGGCTTTGGTTTCTGGCATGTTCGGATTGAATTTGGACTTGTTTTGGGCTGCAGCCCATCTGGCAGGAGAGTCGGGGGATCTGATGCGTACAAGGCCCAAAACGAAAGAGCAGGGTTTAGGGTGTAGGGCTTGGGGTTTAGGGTTTTTTGGGCTTAGGGGATCCCTACCGCCCGGAAGAGGAGATCCATGATTTTGAGGGTACTTTCCCAGAAAAAAAAACACCCACGAAAGCCCTAAGCCCTAAAAGAAATGGGGTTCTTGCGGGAGCCCCGAAGAAGTCAAGGCATATCAAGAAGCTCCCTCTTTGGGGTTGTTTGTGCCTGCGCAGCTTATGGTTAACCCCCGAAAACTAAACTCTTCATAATCAGAGGCTATAGCATCAGAACAGTCAATAAGTAGAGAAGATGTCATCTGCATCCTAGTCATGATATACAGAGCACTGAACAAACCGAGAACTTGCTGCAGATGGATTGCGGCAGTTCGCATAGCATCATATGTCTGTGACCAAAGGTCGAAAATCTGCACAGGAATGTCATGCGGCTTAGGACATCTACGTGTGGGATTCCTGATTTCTTACAGCAAACACACTCTCTTAGTTGTCAGGTGTGGGGGAACCAAAGGATAACCTTTAGGATTATAAGGGGATTCTATTACCCCAAAAAGGTTAAAGGTTACCTACTCTACTACTAGGCTCTTCAGCAGGAGCCCACGAAGGTTCAAGCACATGTGTGTCCTTATTGGCCCGCCTGGGAGGTTTCCAGCGCAAAGTTTAAGCCTATACCGGGAACCCAAGACCCAAAACAGAGGTTTAGGCTTTAGGGTTTAGGCTTTAGGGTTCAGGAGTTCAGGGTTGAGGGTTTAGGGTTTAAGTTCCTGGACAGCGTCTTAAACCACTAAACCCCTTGAGAGCCTCTAAACTCTTCAGCCCGAAGCGCCCACCCCCGAAAGATGAGATTCGGGACAGAGGGTTTAGGGTTTAGGGTTTAGGGTTCAGGGCTCGAAAGGCTGGCCTCGCAGCCGACTGCGTTTTGGGGAAGGGGCTGGCCTGTGCAGGGCTTAGGATTCAGGGTTCAGGGTTCAGGGTTTAGGGTTTAGTAGGGTTTAGGTTTAGGGTTTAGGGCTTAGGGCTTAGGGTTTAGGGTTTCTAGACGGGCAGGGGGTATAGCCACAATCGGGCGGCAAGCCTTTATAACTGCGGTGATCAGTCCCTTGACCAAAACCCTAAACGCGCAACCCTAAAACATAAACCCGAAACCCCAAACCCTAAACCCCAAACCCTGAACCCTGAAACCCTAAACCCTGGTTCATGTAGATAAGGATGGCCTCCATTGGTAGGGTCGAGGGCTCAACCCCCTAAACCCGAAACCCACACTCCAGCGCATGTAGAGTCAAGGGATCTATAGGCACATTCCCGCCAGGGCTTTTACAGGCTTACTTCCCAAAGGATCCTAAGTACCTACATAGTACTAAGTAGGGGTTTCTATAATGGGAATTACTATTATGGTTTGGGCAAGTGTTTCCCATATAGGTACCTAGGACCCTTTGGGCTTTGGGATGCTCACCCTCAGGGATAATCCCTATCAAGGACTCTTAGTATAAGGGGGAGCATCCCGAGGTTTGCTGCTACTTGCTGAAAACCCCGCCAAACATGAAAGAAGCCTCTTCCATGTAAGGCCTATATAGGGATTATTATCTTCTATGTTTTGGGTTTTTTTTATTATGCAAATTGCAGCTTAGCGGTTTAGGAGTTGAAGCGTGCAGATTTTGGAAAACCCTGCAACCCTAGAGCCTTAAACCCCTAAACCCCTAAAACCCTAAAGCCCAAAAACCCTGAAGCCCTCACACCCTAGAGCAGAAAAACCTATAAAAAATCCCTAACAGCCCAACCTAAACAAACCCCAAAACCCCAAAGCCCAAAAACTCTAGGGATTTGGGGTCTACGGCTTAGAGCTTTGGGGTTTAAAAGTCCCAAAACCACAAACCCCAAACCCCAAACCCCAAACCCCAAACCCTAAACCCTGAACCCTAAACCCTAAACCCTAAACCCTAAACCCCAAACCCTAAACCCTGAACCCTAAAACCCTGCAGGTGCCTACTTTTGAGGCTGGACGCCGGCCCAACTGGGTGCAAGGCCGCCCTTGGCCGAGGGTTTAGGGGTTTAGGAGGGGTTAGGGGATAGGGGTTTCAAGCTTAGGGGTTAGGGGTTTAGGGTTTAGGGTGAGGGTTGAGGGTTTCGGGTTCAGGGTTGTTATAGGGTTTAGAGGGTTTAGTCTCGGATGTTCCCCCTTGTTCTTGCAATCCCTTGTTTTGTGGGCTGTTAGTATAAGGGGGAATATCTCAACGTTTGGGAGGGTATAGGGAGGCTTTAAAAAGGTTTATAGGGTTTATGTGGTTCAGAGTTTGTAGGGTGTGCAGGGTTTATAGGGATAATTGGGGATTAGTTGGGGGGTTTTAGGGCTGATAGTGGCGGTTTAGGGTTTAGGACTTTAGGAGTAGGAGAGACACGGGGACTAAGGTACCTCATTCCCTCGCTCCCGAATAAGAAAATAGAAACCCTCTATGTCCATGAACAGTGCCACCTCGAGGTGGAGCCTTACTCATTCTTTAGGGTTTAGGGTTTAAGGTTTAGGGTTTAGGGGTTTAGGGACTAGGGGTTTAGGAGTTTAGGGTTGTGGTGGTAAGGGTAAGGGTTACTCAGCTAACTTTCACATGATACCATGAAAAGCAACATACATGAGATTAGGGACGTACACCCGAAAGGATCTGCAAGTTGTCCCGAAAACCAAGCCTCGAACCCCTCTCCCCCCCCGCTCTCCCCCCCCCCCTCCCCCAAGGCACTCCCAACCCCTCTTGTGGCGGGGTGCCAGAAGCGGCTGGCAAGTGACACCTGGGCAGGGTTTAGGGCGCTTTGGGGGGGGTTAAGGGGGGTTTCGGGGGCTCAGTCGGCTCAGTCGGCTTAGGGGGCTTAGGGTTTATAGGGTTTAGGGTTTAGGGTTTAGGGTTTAGGGTTTAGGGTTTAGGGTTTAGGGTTTAGGGTTTAGGGTTTAGGGTTTAGGGTTTAGGGTTTAGGGTTGGCTTAGACTGTTTCGGGTCTAGGGGCCGAGGCCAGGCCTGTCCGGACGCGGCCTAAGTTGCAAGTCAGACCCATGCGTCCAGTCCCGGGCCTCGAAAACTCTACCCAGGGTACTTGGGATGTTCCCGCTAGGACTTTACAGGCTTGCTTTGGGGTTTTAAGGGTTTAGGGTTAAGGGTTAAGGGTTTAGGGTTAATGGTTTTAGGTTGGGATGTTCTCCCCGTTATCCTGGCAGTCCTTAAGAGGGATTCGAATCGAGGGTACTATACTCCCTATTCAGGACTGTGCGTCGCGGGGGGAACATCCCAACATGCCAAGACCCAAGAGGAACCCAGGATGGAACAGGGTGTCCTTTTTGAGAGGAAATTAGAGCCGACTCTGGGTCCGTTTGGGGTTTAGGGTTTAGGGTTTAGGGTTAGGGTTTAGGGTTTAGGGTTTAGGGTACATTTAACTCATGGCTTGCCGCCAGGCGCCATTGACCGCCTCTCTCTTCGGGCAAGCCGCTGCACTCAGCTTGTGGGAACGCCCCCCACGCCACCAATCAGGTTTGTGAGCACAAGGAAACTCGACATTGAAGAAGGGTATCACCATAGGAAGCCGAATGCCTGGCTCAGGAATCAACATGCTGCTCCCTGCCGCTAAGGGCACCCTGGATGCATGGGGCCGCAGGAAACGTAGCGAGCTCCAAAAGGGTTTGCGGTTTGCGGCTTCGAGAGCCTATCCTAGACCAAATACTGCTGTGAAATCCTTCTTGCAGTAAGTTGGAATCTCCTAAGCCCTTGAATAGTCCTAAGCCCCGAATCCTCTTTATCGTACTCTGGAATCTTCAACCCGTTAGTTAACCCTAAACCCTAAACCCCTCAAACCCCTAAACCTGTTTGCAGTACTTTGGGAACCCTAAACCCTAAACCCTAAACCCTAAACCCTAAACCCTAAACCCCAAACCCTAAACCCTAAACCCTAAACCCTAAACCCTAAACCCTAAACCTAAACCCTGAACACTAAACCCTTTCATAACCCTCAACCCTGAAAGCCCTTCAAGGAGCTCCCCTTCTACAAGCTCTTAGTTGTCCAGTAACCTGGGGGAACTAAAGGGTAACCTTTGGGATTCTAAGGGGATTATATTGCGCCAAAAAAGGTTAAAGAGTACCTCCTCTACTACTACTTATAAGTAGAGTTATAAGTGCCCTAAATTGGGTTATAAGGAGCCTAACTTTGGCTATAAGTTCCATAATAATTATAGTTAGTATAGTAACGGGGCCCCTCCTTGTAGCTCTCTTGGTCCACGACGAGGGGGGGGGAGGGGGGACACCGCTGAGGCAGTGGCGTAAAAACTGAAGTGCGCAAAGCAACGAAGTTCCTGACCTGCAGCGGGCTGTTTTGAACCCCTAAACCCTAAACCCTAAACCCTAAACCCTCAACCCTAAACCTATAGGGCGTCGAAGACATAAGCCCCCACGGTTGCTTCGTCTGCTTTGGGCTTGCATGGTAAGGTAGTTACGTGGGCTGTCGGTTATATTAACTGGATGGACTTCGGATTTGGGGTGCTTAGGGCTGAGCTTTTGGAACCAGCAATGCTCTATAGAAAACATCAGCTTTAGTGAAATGGTACCTTTTCTAGGGTTTAGGGTTTAGGGTTTAGGGGTTTAGGGGTTTAGGGGTTTAGGGTTTTGGGTATACTACAAACATCCTCGGGTTTAGGGTACACTACAAACATCCTCTTCGGTCACGGGCAGTCAAAAACCCTAAAACCTAAACCCTTCGGTGCCTGCAATGCGCGAGCCCTGAGGAGGCCCCCCAGGGAGGCGCTGTGAGCCAAGGAGCCGCCAGCAGCGATGCGGTTTAGGGTTTAGGGTTTAGGGTTTAGGGTTTAGGGTTTAGGGTTTAGGGTTTAGGGTTTAGGGTTTAGGGTTTAGGGTTTAGGGTTTAGGGTTTAAGGTTTAGGGTTTAGGGTTGAGGGTTTAGGGTTTAGGGTTTCGGGTTTCGGGCTTCGGGTTTAGGGTTTAGGGTTTAGGGTTCAGGATTAAGGGTTTAAGGCCTAGGGCTTAGGGTTTAGGGTTTAGGGTTTAGGGTCTAGGGTCCTGCATCTTAGGTCTTAGGTCTGAGGGTTTAGGGCTTAGGGTGGGGAGAGACCTAGCCATTGGATTTGTGTCATGTGCTCTGACACTCTAGCCCAAGGGATCTTAGAAGCCAGTGAACAGTAAAAAATCAGTGTCAAGGGTCGGTTTGAAGGTTGGCGGGACTAGGGTTTAGGGTTTAGGGTTTAGGGTTTAGGGTTTAGGGTTCAAAGAGGCTCAACTGGGATCAAGGGGGTTCTCAGGAGAACCCTAAACCCTAAGCCCTAAACCCTAAACCCTAAACCCCCAAGACCCTAAACCCCTAAATCCTGAACCCCTAATCTCTAAACCCCCAAAGCCCTTCCTCTTCTGCCTCTTCGCCCTCCACCTCTTACATCTTGCTCGGGTTTTCGGGCAAAATGAGAGGAAAGGCAGCTGCCCTGGTGGCAGCAGCCTTCTGCCCGAGGAAGGGCACCCCAACCGTGGAACGTAAAGTTCAGGGTTTAGGGTTTAGGGTTTAGGGTTTAGGGTTCAGGGTTCAGGGTTTAGGGTTTAGGGTTTAGGGTTTAGGGTTTGGAGGGGCTCCCCCACTGTGATCTTGGGGTGCAGGGCTGAGTTATAGTTTAGGGTTTGGGGTTTGGGGTTTAGGGTTTAGGGTTTAGGGTTCGGAGTCAACTGCTCAGATTTTCGGGTTCGGGGTTTCTGGTTTAAGGTTCATGGTGAACTGTTGAGGGCTCAGGGTCTAGCGTTTAACGTGGAACAGACACAAGCAAAGATCAGGGTTTAGGGTTTAGGGTTTAGGGTTTAGGGTTTAGGGTTTAGGGGCCCTTAGGCCTCTACTTCTTGCTACGGGGTCGTCCCTCCAACTTCTCGCGTTGCATCCCCAGCTGTCCAAAGACTGCTTGAAGGTTCACGGTAAGGCAACACCCATACCCTAAACCCTAAACCCTAAACCCTAAACCCTAAGCCCTAAACCCTAAACCCTAGACCCTAGACCCTAGACCCTAAACCCTAAACCCTAAACCCTAAACCCTAAACCCTAAACCCTAAACCCTAAACCCTAAACCCCAACCCCTACCTGTAACTACACATGAACCTTCAAGTCCGACCAGACCTGGGTAGGAAACAAGCTGAGCTCTAAAGCCTAACCAAGGATGATCACATGGGGACTGTAAGGGATCCTCTTCCCCCACACAGTGCGACACAGGAAGTCATTGCTAGGGTTTACGGTCTAACCCTAAACCCTAAACCCTAAACCCTAAACCCTAAACCCTAAACCGTAAACCCTAAACCCTAAACCCTAAACCCTAAACCGCAAACCCCAAACCCCAACCCCTACCTGTAACTACACATGAACCTTCAAGTCCGACCAGACCTGGGTAGGAAACAAGCTGAGCTCTAAAGCCTAACCAAGGATGATCATATGGGGACTGTAAGGGATCCTCTTCCCCCGCACAGTGTGACACAGGGAGTCATGGCTAGGGTTTACGGTCTAACCCTTAACCCTAAACCCTAACCCTAAACCCTAAACCCTAAACCCTAAACCCTAAACCCTAAACCCTAAACCCGGAACCCTAAACGTTGAACCCTAAACTTTAGGGTCCAGGGCTTCAAAGCTTGGGATATCGGACTTGAGACACCAAAGCAAAAGCAAAAGCAGGAGACCGAAGTCCTCAGCAGTGAAACAGCAAGGCGCGCCCCCTGGCTGCGGCTTCGGGTTTAGGGTTTGGGGTTTAGGGTTTAGGGTTTAGGGGTTTAGGGTTTAGGGTTTAGGGTTTAGGGTTTAGGGTTTAGGGGTTTAGGGTTTAGGGTTGACGGCTATAGGGTTCTTCAGGGAGGGGGGTTCAAGGGGGGGTACGTAACCCAAGGTTCCCTAATCCTCCCCACTACTCCCCAGGGCTTTCTGAGCTTCTCTAAGGTTCCCTAATGGGTACCTAACCCCCATGAACCCCCCTCCCTTAAGAACCCTATAACGGTCCCTAAGCCCCACACCCTATAACCCTAAAAAAGCCTAAAACACCCTTTAAAAAACATTAAAACAAAAAACTAAAGCAAACAAAGAAGCTAAAACCCTAAAACCCCAAAACCCCAAACCTGAAAAATTCCTAAATCACTAGATGGACGGGGCTTGGTTCGGGACTTGGGGTTTGGGCTTTAGTGTTTCAATGTAGGGTGCCGGATGTATTCTTCTACAAGCAATTGCGCAACTATGCATGTCCAATCTGGAGGACTCCATGGAGAAGCCTAACAAAAACAGCAGCTAGACAGTTTAGGGTTTAGGGTTAGGGTTTAGGTTTAGGGTTTAGGGTTTAGGGTTTAGGGTTTAGGGTTTAGGGCTTAGGGTTCAGGGTTGAGTCATGTAGCGGTGCTGACCGTCAGGTTTCGCTCAGGCACCCCTCTCACAAACAAACAAAATGACCTGCAAACCCACACATTCCATCTTCAGCACGAAAGCCCGACGCAGACTGAGAGTGAGCTCTTGGGATCTTTGTACTGTAGGAGCCTTAAGAATAAGAACGAGGTGTTGGGGGTTTGCATAGTATAACTATAGAGGGACCAGAAGGGAAAATGATTAGTTAGTAATTCTTCCGGCCCTATATTACCCTACACCCTGACCGAACCCAACAGCAACACTTAGTTGCTGAGTTCATAAGCCCCCAAGAAGTGTACACTTTCAGTTCTAGAGGGGATTATCGTATCCCCAAACGTGTAAGGTGTAATTACTCACTCAGCTACTAAGCACCACGGCCCGAAATGTTGCACCTCGACCCTAACCCTAAACCCTAAACCCTAAACTCTACACCCTAAACCCTCAACGCAACTCCCACTGCTTCCAAGCCGCTCTGCTATGGGATCAGCGGCCGTGAAGCCTGAATAGGGCTTTAGGGTTTAGGGTTTTCTGGGGGGGGGGGGGTCCTTAGTATACTTATAAAAGGGACCATAAGGGAATTATACTATTAATAATTATTCCGACCCCCATATAGCTTATTCATAAATCTCATCGGACCACCCTGGAAAGCTCAAACAAAAACCTGAAACCCTAAACCCTCAACCCAAAACCCTACACCCTACAACCTAAACCCAAACCCTAAACCCTAAACCCTAAACCCTAAACCCTAAACCCGAAACCCTAAACCCTAAACCCAAACCCTAAACCCTAAACCCTAAACCCTAAACCGGGTGTCTGTCTGTAGCTGTATGGGAACACTACACACCTGAAGCTGTCAACGACCCTAAACCCTAAACCCCTAAAAAAGACCGGGTTTAGGGTTTAGGGTTTAGGGCTAGAAACCCTGAGCCCTAAAACCTAAGGCAGGCGAGCTTCCAACCGCGGCCGCCGCCGCAGACAGAAGCACACCTGGCGCGAGGCCCTCATGTGGAGTAGACTCTGGAAACCCTGGTTTAGGGTTTATGGTTTAGGGTTTAGGTTTTGGGTTTAGGGTTTAGGGTATATACTTTTTGGGTAGAAGTAGCTATAACAGGAACTCAGAAACAAAAAAACAAAAAAAACATTTAAGTATAGTTCTCCAAGAGCCAGGATTGATCTACCGGCGCTTTCTTTGGAGGTTCGCGTGTAGTCTTTAGTAGGACTTCGGGTTTGGGGTTTAGGGTCCTACCTGAAAATCTCTAGGTAGATAGGGAACTTTAGAAGGAACCTTGTCTGCTGAACCTATGGCCCTACGTATAACGATCCATGAATAGTTTATATATACATATATATATATATATAGAGATCTTGCAGGGGTATGGGATTGAAGCAACTGGCGAACTCTAAACCCTAAACCCTAAACCCTAAACCCTAAACCCTAAACCCTAAACCCTAAACCCTAAACCCTAAACCCTAAACCCTAAACCCTAAACCCTAAAAGCCAAAGCATGAGCCAAACTCAAAAGCGCGCGGGAGATCACCCGCCGGCATATGGACGGCCGGCTGCTCTCCGTGGGCTCCTGGGGCTTCACAAGGGTTTAGGGTTTAGGGTTTGGGGTTTAGGGTTTAGGGTTTAGGGCTTGGGGTTTAGGGTTTAGGGTTTGGGGGTTAGGGTTTGAGGTTTAGGGTTTGGGGTTTAGGGTTTGGGGTTTAGGGTCAAGCTGAGCAACCTCCTTTCAGGTTTAGGGTTTCGGGTTTACAAAAGGCTTGAAGGGTTTAGGGTTTAGGGTTAGGATTCAGGGTTTAGGGTAGGGCAGGGTGCATGCGCCCGCAAGCAGCGACAGCGCATGATGACAGACAGGAATTTCAAGTCAGGGTTTAGGGCTTGAAGGCTTTTGGTTTAGGCAGGTTTAGGGTTTAGGGTTTAGGGTTTAGGGTTT